CCATTAAAGAGATAATCAGAATATCCTAGCAACCAGGAGAGACCAGCATGAAGATTGGGGAAGATGGCAAGACGCATATCAACGTATTCCCCTATCCAAAGGCAACCAGTGCAAATATTCTGGTATACTTTCTTTCATGTTTTTAACCTATACAATTCTAGGAGGGATCTGGGAGAAAATCTACACAAGCCTGAATCCCCTTAGGCTATAGTTGTGCAGTGTTTTTCTCCTTTGGTCTTTGATAATGTTCACTTGGCTAGGCTACAGTACTCAGTTATTTAGACAGCAATCTAGGTGCTGTCATGAAGGTATTTTGTAGATGTGATTAAAGCTGATAATTAGATGACTTTAATCTGGGTGGACCTAATTCAAGGGTTGAAAGGTCTTAAGAATAGATCTGAGGCTTCCCTGAAGAAATTTCACCAGTGGGCAGTGGCTTTAGTCCCTTCTAGCCTGTCCTTCCTGATGGTCTGCCCTAGAGGTATTTGGATTTGCCTGGCCAGCCCCCACAATGGCATAATTCCTTGCAATAAAATTCTTTTACCTATCTATCTGCTACTGGTCTGATGCTCTGGTTAAACCCTAATAATACACATGGGAAAGGAATATCATGACCCCTGTTCTTAAGCAGGCAGTACCCTAGGATACTGCATTCTTTTTCTGCTTCGATTATTAGTTTAAGAGAGAATAATTACCATGCCAGTTCCAAACTTCCTCTTATGGTATAATTCAGGTGCTCCCCCTCCCCCCAAATCCCTTGGGGTTCAGGAAGTTATCTTAGTGAGCTAGGACCAATGTAAACAGTAACAAAAAGAAACAAAATAGAAAGCACATGTGGAGTAAATGCATGGAGGCCTTGGTGCAGGACAAAGCACTGCAGCTGACTTGATGAACAGCCTTAATGCTATTATTACCTGAACCACTTCTTCCTCCTCACCCTGCCCAGTCCCCAAGGCATTTCCAGGCATCCAGATCGATGTCACCTCAGGTTAGATTGGTGAACAGAAAAATTCCTTGCACAGGTCAACTAAAGACACTCATGAGAATTCCTGGGAAGTGCTTCCATTTCAAAACTTTGAAATTTTTAACCTTCAGACATTGGGTAAAGAGCCTAAATACAAAATATTATTTGGGTGTTGTGGTAAAAGCACAAGATGACCAGTTTTTAGCTTATTCTAAAATTTGCATCTTAGTGTATTTAGGGATAGGTACTTCCCTGGTGGCACAGACGGTAAAGTGTCTGCCTACAATGCGGGAGACCTGGGTTCAGTCCCTGGGTCAGGAAGATCTCCTGGAGAAGGAAATGGCAACCCACTCCAGTACACTTGCTTAGAAAATCCCATGGACGGAGGAGCCTGGTAGGCTGCAGTCCATGGGGTCACAAAGAGTCAGACACGACTGAGAGACTTCACTTTCACAGAGAAAGGATAACCTGACCACTTAATTTTGGCAAGTTCCAAAACATATGTATTTTGATTTTATGTGAAACTAGAATTTCTTAAGTTACATTATATAACTGATATTTAAGTTTACTGAATGGTTCAAGGAAACTTGCAAATCTATTATCATAGTTAGATTTAATGTAACTTGTCAAGTGATGAAATCAATCCCTTGAGTAACAGAATAAGTTACTGTCATGAGGCATAAATAACCGCTACTTCATTTTCTGTAATCACCTTTATGATATTAAGTAGTTTCATCCATAGTAACATTCATACTATTTCAGTCATATACTAAACCTCTACCATAAAAAATGGAACATGATTTTCTTGCGGTGAATTTATGTTATGGTACTTACTTGAGTTCTCTACTGAGAACTATATTAATTCTGTCCTTTAAAGGTCGATTCTTCTCTGGAATGGAGAACCAGGTCTTCCTACCCATAATCACCAAATTCTGTTTACCTTTAAAGTCACATGGAAAGAATAAATATATTTTGGGAGCATACATATGTATTTTTATATACTTATAGATATATGCATAGAAATGATGGTCACAGTGACACCTAGTGGTTCTGCTTTAAAAATTAAAATTTAAAACAGCTTTACCAAAATATATCATTTGTCATCCATTATCTAAGTCTAGTAATTACTATTTCCTTTGGCTTTAGCCAATTTATAACCAATATATAGCTTTAATCAACTGTAATCATGTATATTATAGTAGTTAAAAGCAAAGATACTGGGATGAAGTGCTAAAATTGAACGTATTCTGTCATCTACTAAGCAAGTCATGTTTATTTCCTGTGCCTTATTTTCCTTACCTATAAAATGGAGATAACAATAGTTCCTACTTGTAGAGTTGTTATGGGTATTTAAGACTTATTTGTTGTTATGGGTATTTAAGGGCTTCCCTGGTGGCTCAGATGGTAAAGCGTCTGCCTATAATGAGACCTGGGTTTGATCCCTGAGTTGGGGAGATCCCCTGGAGAGGGAAATGGCAACCCACTCCAGTACTCTTGCCTGGAAAATACTATGGACAGAGAAGCCTGGTAGGCTACAGTCCATGGTGTCGCAAAGAATTGGACATGACTGAGCGACTTCACTTTACTTCACTTCTGGTGGTTCAGCTGGTAAAGAATTCACCTGCAATGTAGGAGACCTGGGTTCGATCCCTGGGTTGGGAAGATCCCCTGGAGAGGGGAATGGTACCCACTCCGGTATTCTCTGGCCTGGAGAATTCCATGGACTATATAGTCCATGGGGTCGCAAAGAATTGGACATGACTGAGCGACTTTCACATATATACATTATTTGTATACTTTATATATTTAAATTACAGTAATTTTTCTTAAAGATAGCTGCTTAATATTCCAAGAAATGAGTTTAAAACATTATCAATTGTGCCTCTATGCTTCTCTTTCAAGTATACTGCTTCTATAAAAACTTTACATATGTAGCTTCCATTTTTGTTTAATTACTTAGGAGGGAAAAACCTTGGGAGTTGAGTATCTGGATCAAAGGAACATATACATTTCTATGATTCTTGATATGTTCTGAGAGACTATCAAAGGAGTGCATGTATCTATTTTCTTAAAGAATCATCATTAGTTTGATTTTTTCAAAACAAAAACATGAAATTTGCAAACTGCAAAAAATTTTATTTTCCTCCAAGAATAAACACCCCCCGGCCCGTAATTCAGAGAACCCTTATATAATATGCACTATATCTTCAAAGACAAAACTTTATGTGTTCAATAAGGAGATTATCAACTATTAAAGATAATGGAACCAACAGGTGAGGAATTCTGATGAGGAAAATGGCACAGACCCGATCTAACAACTAAGGTAGAAATGATAAATGAAGGACATAGGGAGACAGCCAAGACAGCCTTGGTACCCTTTCATTCATTCATCCAAGAAATACTATGTTTACTGAAAACAAGCAAACAGGCATAGGATGATCTTCTTATCAGCAGGCGTTACTTAGGATTCTTGAGAGTGTTCCTGTCAATCCTTTGCCTTAAAGCTCTTGCCATCTTGTCTCGACCAGTGATTCAAGGACCAAATCCAAGGACCTTTTATCCGAGCCGCTACAGCTATGCTGCATCTGCTCCTTTCTGATTTATGGTTCCCCTGTTTACTCTGCTATTGCTCCTCCAATGAACAAAGATACACTCCTCTTAGGTTTTAAATGGTCCTCTCCCTCATGCCCATGTTCTTTTCCCTGGTTATCCTCTTCTTGCCAGTGGCTCAATTCACCTCCTTCCCTGGGCCTGAAGTTGTCGGATATCCTACAAGCACTTCAAAATCATCATCATTAGAGCTGCTCACTATTTCCCATGTCACTCAGACTATCAAATTGGAAATCTGAGAGTTCATCCTTGCCTCACTGCACCACCTTCAACTTTCGGATCTCCAAATCGAGTATTTTGCAACCGTTTTTTGCCCTTCGTCCTCTCCATTGCCACTCAGACATTATCATTCTACAGCAGCAGCGATTTCAAAAGCCTCTTCCATTCTCCTTTGCGGGCGCTGACCTCCACAAAAGACTTTACCTAGCTTCCAATTTTGCCCAATACCTGAATTGTATGCACCCACATAAAATTTCAAATAAACTTTTTTTTAAGGAATGTTTAATAAGTGTTGGGAAATGTGTATACATCGATGTTAAGACAAAAGTCCCAGACTAACATGAGAGACTTTTCACTTAAGTAAAATTTGCACTGGTAAGCTTCCTCAGGCAAGACCTTTCGCAAACTTGAAGCACATAAAAATGCCACATTACCTTCTACTGAAGAGACTGTAGTCATTCTTTGGAAATACCTGAATTCATTTCTACAAGTTAAGAAAAACACGCAGTTACTCAGAATGTGATCCCATGGGCTTAAGCTCTAAAGCCCCCAACAAACCGGGCGCTGGTTGCGGGGGTGGGGGAGGAACTTTCAGGGCTGGGATTTTGCTCCCGGGGGTAGGAGCCGGAAGTAAAGGTCTAGCCGGGCAGCTGGAGCGGGATATAAATCAACAACTTGCCGCCAGGCTCCGGACGCAGAAGGAAGCCGAAGCTTAGCTCTTGCCAGCTCAGGTCACGACCCCTTCTTCTCCCAGCGTCGGCCCGACCCGGCCCAGGTGTCCCGATCAAAGGCCGTTGGCGCCAGCTCTCTCCAACACTCTCGACCCACCCACCCCCCGGGGCTCAGCAGATACCTGAGTGGAGGCCAGGGCAGGTTCCCGTCCTTGCCGATGCCCATGTTCTGGGACACAGCGACGATGCAGTTTAGCGGACGAACCATGACAGCTTCAGGAAACACTTTCGAGCTAGCGCTGGACCCCGAACCCCGCTAGGTCAGCCACCTTGGCGCGAAATTTTGGTCGCCCCGCCCCTCCAGCCCTATTTGTGCAGGCGAGACCGCGCCCCCGTCCCGCCCCCCCGCCCCGGCGCACCGCGGGGTCACGACGTGCTCGCGTCTGCAGACGCCCCGGGAACTGCGGCCGCGGGCCCGCGCGCCCGGCTCGGCCCGGCTCGGCCCGGCTCTCGGGCTGTTGACTCCTGGCCTTGCGATGTCGCGCCGGAAGCCGGCCTCCTCCAGTCCAGCGTCTGCAAGGCAGGCTGTTTTGAGCAGATTCTTCCAGTCTACGGGAAGCCTGAAATCCACCGCATCCCCAGCGGGTGCAGCCGAGAAGGCGGACCCTGACTGTGACTCCGCGGCGCCTCTAGCGTCCACGCTGCCGCCGCAGTTGCAGCCACACGTGGTGGGTTCGGTCCAGGACAGGGCGGGGCCATCGGGGAAAGGGGGCGGGGCCAGCCGGGCGGAGGCAGCGTTTGTGGGTGGGGCGTGATGAGGAGGGGACTGTGCGCGAGAATCGGCGAGGTGACTGGGCCAGACGGGAAAGGGGCGGGGCCCAGGAAGGAGAAAGTAGGAAGAGGTAGGCCCACCTCCATGCTAGGTGCCCTTCTAACAGGACTTCCCTTGTGGCTCAGCTGGTAAAGAATCTGCCTGCAATGCTGCATGGGTTCGATCCCTGGGTTGGGAAGATCCCCCGGAGAAGGGAAAGGCTACCCACTCCAGTATTCTGGCCTGGAGAATTACATGGAGAAGTTCATGGGGTCGCAAACACTCGGACACCACTGAACGACTTTCACTTCACACTCACACTTGGGGTGTTAGTTTTGAGGTTAGGGTCACACCAACTCTTAATGGCTGCCCTGAGGCAGAAACTCAGGTCTCCTGACTACAATTCTGATGAGTAGGGTCAGAGGATACCTCTTTTAATCTCCATTCTACCTGCCCCCCCCCACCCTTTTTTTTCTGAATTGAGGGTTGAAGAAGAGCCTTGTTCATTTGTATGTGTTTAGTTAGGTGACCGGATGAAAACTGGCGTTAAATCTCCAGTTTTTAGGGTTGCAACAGCCTTGCTCAATGTTTTGGGCGATTACCAGTGAAAGTCATGACTTAGGTGCGGTTCCCTGGTGACTGTAACTACCCCTTGTGGTTCAGATTATAAAGTCTGATACACGATTTGAGTGGATAAAGTTTCTTTAGACGATACAGATGTGCTAGTCGTTGGGACCTTCATGTTGCTTGCCATCCTTTGAATAAAATAATTTTGTTTTGTTTTTGACCAGGAACACTGCCACAGAGGAAAGCCTAAGGGTGAGCCCTCACTGGGGCTCCCTGGTACAGCATTTGTCAAACTGAAAATGTGGCAGGGAGTTATAGATTGGCTTTTAAGTAACCCTCCAGGTTTTAAAGCAGATGACAGCTTTGCTGCTTCAGAATTTTGTTCCCTTCATTTATGTTTCTTCTATAGAGGATTGTTTCTCACCTGTCTTTGTTTTTTGACCATAGTCTACATTTCCATGAATTCACCAAGATTTTATTTTACGCCTACTATTCAGAGGTCATTTGGTGAAGGACCTAAGTTTTTGACAGTTTTTCTGCCAGCATACAGTCCATAATCTTGTGGCATCTTCAGTGGTAAAACATAAGCCACGTTTGAACATGAAACAGTTAAATTACAATTAACATTTCAAAAATGATACGGTTCTTTAATTGTCTAAATATTAGTTTTTTTCTCGAAGGTGTTCTATTTAACATAGGTAAGTAGTGTGATTCATAATCTGAGATAGGGCAAGGCTGATTAAGTGAAGAAAAGTAGCGCCTTGGTTCTAATTCTAGGACTGCTTGAGATGCCGAGGTTCATAACCTGAACTCCAGCTTATCTTTGATGATGGTAAAAACAGTTCACCCATAGCTCTAAGTAGACAATTCTATGAAGGGTGGATGGCAAGAACCTACTCTCATTCAGAAGTAAAGTTTAAATTATCTTGCATACATCAAATTTTGAGATTGGAGATGACACATCCTTTTCTAACATAGGTTGCAGAAATTGACAGACGTAAAAAGAGAGCGCTGGAGAATGATGGACCTGTTAAAAAGAAAGCAAGGAATGTCCAAGAAAAGGAAGAAGGAAGTGATTCTGTAATGTCTGGGAACTCTGGTGAGTTCTTGGGGAGTTTCTTCGTTCTCACAAGTCATGGCTCTGGTATTCTTGTGTTCTCCTGAGGGTAGAAGAGGCTATTGGAGAATTGGGCCATTTTTTTCCTTTGGGGAGAAAGGCTTCCATAATGTTTGAGTAGACTGGCATCTTCTTAAGTGGTGGTGTGTGGGTAGAAGTTTGGAGAAATAGGGATAAAAGCTGGAGTTCTGCAATTTGGCTGTAGTTCTTTCAGTTTTCTCTTTTATTCCCTTTAGCAAATTTTGGTCTTGATTATAAAAGTAAAACATTCTTGTTATAAAATTTTCAAACAATTCAGAAACGTAGAAGGTAGACAGTCAAAGACCTCATAGTCTTTCTTTCAGTAAGGCCTAGTGCTGATTTTTGGACATGCTGTATATTCTTCCAGATTTTTCTACTTATTCACATCTGTATGTATAAACACATACCACAAATTAGTTAACTAATAATTTTTCATAAATTGTATTATACTATATATACTAACTTGTGACTTTTTCCCCCCCTCTTAGAACATTTTGAACAATATTCAGTGTTAGGACGTGTAGATCTGTCCTTTCCTTTTTAATCATGGAGCTGTTTCTTCTGTATGTGCAAAGATTTTGGGTAAAACCACCATTCCTGAGCTCCTGGATTTCTAGCGGAGGTATTGGATACAGATAGTTGAGCAAATTTTTCTTTGGTTAATTGGCCTCAGACAGTTTGTGATAGGAGAGGATAGAGAATGCTTCTTTCTTCATTATTCCCGTGAAATTAGGTAAAGAAAATGAAGTGAAGTGAAGTGAAAGTCACTCAGTTGTGTCCGACTCTTCGTGACCCCATGGGCTATAGCCTGCCAGGCCCTTCTGTCCATGGAATTCTCCAGGCAAGAATACTGGAGTGGGATGCCATTGCCTTCTCCAGGGGATCTTCCCAACCCAGAGATCGAACCCAGGTCTCCCGCATTGCCGGCAGATTCTAAACCATGAGTCACCAGGGACGCCCAAAGGAAATGAGTCAAAAGCAAAAAAGAAAAGTTTCAGTTTGATGGATTAAGAAGTAAAATTTGAATTTGTGTATGAAATAACTGTAGAAATGGAGAGGCATGACTAAAGTGAAGGATAGGTCTGATGATACTCTTTTCCTCCTCCGACCTGAATGGGCTGTGACTGGAGGCATGACTTGACAGAGTTTGCATTTTCCAGGGCTGTCTTTTCTTTGCTTTATTACTTTGCATAGACCTGATCTACTTAGTTTTTCAGTAAAGTCTTCAAGCTGTTAATGAACAGCATCTGTTTGCCTGCCGTTGTTCTGGAGGCCTTTTGTAGTTATTTTATTCTTCCCAACAACCCTTGTTATTCTCCTTTTATAGAAGAAGAGATGGGTGATATGTGAGGTATGAGGGTTACCACACTTCAGTGACTTACCCTGGCACCCAGGAGAGATGAGGTAGAAATGGGGCATCAGACTTGGAATGTTATGATATAAAACCTTTGTTACTTGTTAAACATTGCTCTCAGGAAGAAGAAAGAGTTTTCACCAGTCAAAAATTGGGTGATTACTCCACCTAATTTTTTTTTTAAATATCAGAATTATTAAGATATAATTGCAGGTTATACAGTTTACCCATTTAGCATGTACAGTTTAATGGCTTTTAGTATATGCGCAGAATTGTGCAGCCCTCATTAAAGTCAATTTTAGAACATTTTCATCACCCTCAAAGGAAACTCGGTACCTGTTAGCAGTCATTTCCCATTTTCCCCCAACAGCACCCCTTCAGGCCTAAGTTAAGCACGAATCTATTTTTTGTCTATAGATTTGCCTATTCTGAACATTTCATATAAATGGAATCATAGAGTATGTGACCTTTTTGTATGTTGTACCCCTTTCAAAAGTTTTTTGATTTAATTTCTTGCTGTTCATCTTCTTGTGATTTAATTTTATGTTATTTCATAACACAGAATTTGTTTAAATTTTAACCAAAACTTTTATTTTATATGGTGAAATTTATATCTTAGCCATTTTAAAGTGTACAGTTCAGTGGTATATACATGTCTGGCTACCTTTAATAAATAAAATCTCCCCAAATTCAGACTTATTTTTTGTTATTAATATTATTTTAATTACAGATAAACATAGTATAGAACTCTGTCTTAAAAGCATTTTGAAAAATACAGATACCCATTATCTTAATACTATATAAATTTGGACTTTACAAAATCAATAAAGGATACAATAAAATGTAACTAGAGTATATAAAAATAATATACAATTAAAAAAAGACCTGGAAAATATGTCATATATTATGCCTTTAAACAGTATCCAGAAAGCTCTAATTGAAATTTGCCTTATATTCATATAATTGCCAGGTTATCCTTGAACCATTTTATAAAAGACATCAACCAGTATTTATAATTATTACACACTAATATCCTAAAGTTAAAGCTACTTAATCAAAAAAATTTTTTAAGTAACATGTTTTAACTCAAAGCATAATTGATTTACAGTGTTGTGCTAGATTTTGGTATACAGCAAAGTGATTCAGTTATTTATATATGTATATGCCTATATATATTTCAGATTTCTTTCCCTTATAGGTTATTATATAATATTGAGTATAGTTGCCTTGCTATACAGTAGGTCCTTGTTATTTATCTATTTTATTTATCTATCTCTCTCTATATATACATATATAGTAGTTTATATCTGCTAATCCCAGACTCCTGATTTATCCACCCCACCTCTCCTTTGGTAACCATAAGTTTATATCTATGTCTGTGAGTCTTGTTTCTTTTTTTGTAAATAAATTCATTTGTATCATATTTTAGATCCCACATGTAAGTGATATCATATGATATGTGTCTTTTTCTGGCTTTCTTCATCAGTATGATAATCAAACTCCACCCATGTTGCTGCTAATGGCATTCTTCATTTTTTTTTTTTTTATGGCTGAGGATAAAGCTACTTAGCTTTAATGAAAAAAATCAAATTTGTCCATGGAATTAAATATACCATTCCCCAAATTCCCATTTTTATATTCTATAATGACTATACTTATTATAGAAGGTAATAAATTTTGTCCAATGAACTTTCCATTTTTATTTTATACTATTAAAAAAGAAATCACCTTTAGAAGTTTAAAACAACATGCCTCAGTTTGGAATGAATATTTAAAACAAAGGCACTGAGATTAAAAAATAAGTTTTTTAAATTAAGAGAAAGTTCTGCTGCTTACCTGGGTTTCTACTGTTAGACAAGATTTGAAACTGGCTCTTAAATTTGTTTGTTTTTCTTTTTAAGACCTTATCCTATTTGTATATTATTTTTTATCTGCCTGAGTTTAAATATCTTATTTTCAGCTTAAACACTCAAACACTGGCTGTAGGTTGTCTTTCCAGATGATTCTTGACACCCTGGGATCTATGAACATGGATTTGTTGTTGTTTTTAATTCTTCATAGATGTTTAAGATATGTAGAGAATTATAAGCTTGATAAATTTCACAAACTGAAGTCACCTCTGTAACTATCTCTTAGATCAAGAAACTGTATTACTAGGACTCCCAGAAATCTGTGCTCCCTCCCATTGCAACCCCTTCCCCCGACCCAGGATAACTGTTATCCTGACTTCAGTGTAGATTGGTTTTGCCTGAACATTGTGTTTAATTTATCCAACGTAAAATATGTTTGTAATATTACAAAGGTTTTTCTTTTTTTCCTTTTTTTAAGATGATGAATTATTTTATCTGTAAAACAGGTTCTTGTACAGATTTTTAAAAATATATTTATAATGCCGTATTTATATTTTAGCATCTACTCTGTGCTTCCTTCTAGATTAAAATTCTTCATTTAAAATATGATAATTCTCCTTCCTCCTTGATCATTCATAACCTAAGTGTAGAGGAGTGGTCTTGAGGAAAGTACCTATTATGTATTTCCATTTTATGGCACACAAAATTTAAAGCTCAAACAGTGAAAGTGTTAATTTCAGTGAAAGATTTTTAGTAAGGAATTTTTGGTCTATTTAACATCTTGGGACAGCAACCAGTGGCCTTATTTCTAGGGTATATCCTCTTAAGGGCTCAGAGACTAGTGATAATGCTGCCAAGTCTTAATCTCATATTGTGCCAGTTTGATGGCTCATTTCATGGCATCTTCAGAAAATGAGATAGTATAAGTGAAGTTTTAAATATAGGAGCAGAATATAAAGGTTGCTAAGGTTTGTTTGGGTACTGTTAACTTAAAACAGTAAAAACAACCCAATTATTTTACCAGCAAAATGGCTTTATCTGGGGGCAGCAGAGAACACAGGACATGCAGCTATAGCAAATAGCATGCAAGTCTGGCAAGGCAAAGGAGAGAAAATTCTTTATAAAGGAGAAGGGGAAGTTGGGAGGATTTGTTATAAACAGAAATTTGACTAGAGGAAATTGGGAGTTCAGAATATAGAGGGTTTTCTTTGGCTGAGTTGTGACAGTCTCTCATTGGTTGAACTGTTGTCAGGCTAGGAGAAAATCTTCCTTCTGGTAGTAGTAAAGTTGATCACTCCTGTAGGAGATGCAAGGTAAGTCTCTTCCTGTTGGGATCTGTATTGACACTGTGTGTGCAGGAGAGCTCCCCCTGCTGGCCTCCCAATTCCATTTTCCTTTTAATTTTCATAGTACACTGTACTCACCTGCAATGTGGGAGACCTGGGTTTGATCCCTGTGTTGGGAAGATCCCCTGGAGAAGGGAACGGCTACCCACTCCAGTGTTCTGGCCCGGAGAATCCCATAGACTATACAGTCGCAAAGAGTTGGCATGACAGTGACTTTCACACACACCCTGTACTCAGGGGCTTCCTTGGTGGCTTAGATGGTGTAGAATCCGCCTGTCAGTGCAGGAGACACACAAGATGTGGGTTTGATCGCTGGGTCCAGAAGAGCCTCTGGGGAAGGGAATGGCAACCCACTCCCATATTCTTGCCTGGAGAATTCCATGGACATAGGAGTCCAGCTGGCTACACGCCATAGGGTTGCAAGGAGTCGGACACGACTAAGTGTGCACACACACGGTGAACTTGGTTTTTGACCAGTCAGGTTTTTCACGGTGGTTACAGTCTTCCTCAAGCCTAAGGGAGGAACTGGGGCCTCTTTCTATGTCTTCTCTGAGGCATAAGGGTTTTATAGCTCTTGGGGGCTTTTTATTTGAGAGGGCTTCCATTTAGTTTTTTCCCTTGAGGGCCTTCAGTTCAGTTCAGTTCAGTTCAGTTCAGTCGCTCAGTCGTGTCTGACTCTTTGCGACCCCATGAATCGCAGCACACCAGGCCTCCCTGTCCATCACCAACTCCCAGAGTTAACTCAAACTCATGTCCATCGAGTTGGTGATGCCATCCAGCCATCTCATCCTCTGTCGTCCTCTTCTCCTTCTGCCCTCAATCCCTCCCAGCATCAGGGTCTTTTCCAATGAGTCAGCTCTTCGCATGTGGTGGCCAAAGTATTGGAATTTCAGCTTCAGCATCAGTCCTTCCTTAGAAGGTGTAAATCTCTCTCTTAGATGTCTGTGAGAAAGGCAATGAAAGATTTTGGCTTTCCCCTGTAAGCTTCATTCTTCCCACAGATAAACATGTTCATATTTCCTCCTGGTTTTCTTTTAAATGGCTCAAGATATGATGTCCCTAGGAGCATTAGGAAAAAATTGTAACTTTGCATCATTTCTTACGTACCAGTTCTTTCCCTTATTTTATAGTTCAGGAATCATAATGGCTTGATATGACTGAATAAGGGTGGGATGTCTTCTTTCCTGTCTCTTGAGCTGAGATGCACCCATATAAGACATTCTAGCTTAAGGATGAAAGATGGCTACACAGAAAAAGGAAAGAACAAATTTTAAGAGATGTGGAAGGGTGGCAGAGAGGTTATATAGAAAAACCGGTTCAATCCAGGATCATATCTGAACCAATATAAGCCTTTCTGAGTTGAGCATAACTCAGGGATGGAGCTTCATGAGGGAATCTTCTTGCCATGGTGAGAGTGCAGTAGGGGGCTGGGGAAGGATGTAAGGAAGAGAAAATGGTAAAGTCAGCCATCAAGGAGTCTGACCACATGCGTGCTAAGGCCTTGCTCCAGATCCAGCCAAACAGACGCTGAAGTTTGTGGAAATAAGGCCATAAACATGGAATTTTTGAAATGTGAACTTTACTTAAAACATAAATCGTGTGAAGAACAGAACAGAATATTCAGTAGTCAGAAGAGTCCCTGGCTACTTCACCTCAGTTTTTAACACTTCAGTTTCAGATACTACTTTTTTACATAAGTACAACTCTAAGACTTATACCCCACCCCCACCCTGGGAAAGTTTTTTTTTGTATAGATAGGAGAAAAGTTCTTATATAAAAACTTACAGTATATTTTTGAAGAGTGATTCAAGTATACATCCTGAAAAGGGGAGAGTAATAGTAAATAAGATGAATATATACATTTGAAAGAAATTTCAAATATATATTTTTCTAGCTACAAGGTTAACAGGAGACAGGGTGAAGTATATACCTAAAAAGTTTTGATATGAATATGAGATGATTTAAACTTTCAGAAATGAGTGAAGCGCATCTCTTGTCCTCAGAGTGTTTTGCTTTAACGGGAAAGGTTAAGAGATGATAAATGCAGTCCCATTTCTTTATATTTAAAAGTAAACTGCCTAATTTTATTTCTCTTAGGGGCAAAAAAATGTATTCTGGCTTGTATTATTATAAATACCCAATATGTGATAATGTCCCTTATTTTATGGATTGCTTGCTTCGTAATAACAGCTAATTGGCAGAGTGTGGTATGGGCTGTAGAAAGATGTGATTTTGTTATTTTAACATAGAAGAAGGAAAACATGACTCTTAACTGGGAGAATTAGCAGAGTTTCATGGGGAAAGTAGTTTTGAGATGGGTCTTGATGAAATGAGTCCAATTTGACATGTGGAATTTGGGGTCCTGGACATTTCAGGGAGAAAGAATGGCATGAACAAAGCTATGGAGGCAGGAAGGCAGGTGTCCTGGGGGTAGGGTTTCGGGTTTCCCTGGTGAATTCCTGGTTTCAGGATCTTTAAGACTTTCCTAAAGTCAGAGTCTTCTGTGCTCCTGCCTGGAGGGAGAGCTTTGGCTCCCAGTGTTCTGAGAGCTGGTGAGAAGAGGCTGGATTCTGGGCATCCAGTAAACCTATATCCATTATTCTTATGACGAAGGCACAGTACTGCATCTCACCTGTGCCCCTTTTGCCTTTTCCAGAGAAATTGCCAGTCGTCTTCTGAGGGAGGTGGAGGACAGCTATCTTTGAGCTTGGAGGGGCTAGGGTTCTAAGGATTTAATTGTTTTGAACCAGTCCTATTTATTTGATTTTACTTTATTTACTTGTTAAACTATTTTATATGGGAGTATGACTGGTTAACAATGTTGTGATAGTTTTAGGTGAACAGTGAATTGACTCAGCTATACATGTACATCTATCCATTCTCCCCCAAACTCCCTTCCCATTCACCGTCCTCTTTGTTTTAGAACCTCCCATTTTTCCATTTCCAGAGCTACCCTTGCAGTGATTCTTGACCCTTTCATTTTGTGTTGTAAATAGGATTGGTTCTTGGTTTTGTATATAACTGACTTAGGATTTAACTCTCAGGTATACTAAATTGGTTATTGCTCATCCATTTTTCCTTCTAGTTTGAGATATTTTGTTTGCAGTTGTCATCTCTTCTTCTCTCTGCTGTATTGTAGTTTTTAATAAGGTTTCAGGACGAAGTGAAATTAGATGTGTGTTTCATTATGCAATCTTCAACCTGAGCCCAAGATTTCTTTATTTCTTTATCACATTATAGTTAGATTCATTGCCTTAACTGAGAAGATCCTTCTGTAAAAATCCTATGCTGAGTATGAATTGACATAATGAGACAAAATACTATTGTTATGTTTTCGTCTGATTTTCTAAGAGCCCAAGAAACATCTGAGGACCAGGACTGTTTTAAAGTCTCTGGAAAAACTGAAAGAATTCTGCTGCGATTCTGCCCTTCCTCAAAATAGAGTCCAGACAGAACCTCTTCAGAAGAAGTTTGCAGTTCTGCCAAAATGTACTGATTTTGAGGATATTGATCTTCTACGTGCAAAGAATGCAGTTTCTTCTGAAGATTCCAAATCCCAAACTAGCCAAAAGGTATGTGACTCTTATATGGATGGATATCCACTTAACTTAGAATGGTAGGTTCTCAAGTACCATTAGGTTCTGTGGGTTCACCCGGGTTATGGGTTCCCAAACCTTGCTGATCATCCAAATCAGCTGAGGGAGCTTCTGCCTCTTAGATTTTTTTTTTTTTAAATTCCTGGAGATTCTGATTTACTATTATGGTGGGATAGATTGGTTTTATTAAAACAACACAGAATAAAACCTCCCAGCTGATTCTGATATACAGCCTAGGTTAGGAGTCACTAATTTGGGGGTAATTCTTTATTAATAATTAATAGAAGCACAGTTTCTTATAGTCCTTCTTACAGTTTCCATGATTAGTCTAGAAAATCATGGTAAATAATTTATAGAGATGTTTTGAGGTTTTCAGTTGAAAGCTTGGCTGATACAGTAAATAGAAAAGTTAGCTAAATACATATGGGTTCCTTACTTCTTCTACTGTCTTGTGACTATTAGTGTTTTTCACCATTGCAAAATCAGGGAATTTAATTCTTGATCCATTGTTGAAATCTATAATTCAGAATTAGTGGTGAAGCCAAGCTTTAAATAAGATCACCTTACTGTAATAATTTTGTATAGTGACAATTGATTATGGGACTTGTGATCATTTCATAATGTATTTGATTGTCAGATCACCATGTTGCACACCTGAAACTAACATGATATTGTGTGTCAACTATATGTCAGTTAAAAGAATCACCTGGAGAACAGAACTTTCAAAAAAAAAATCATCAGAACCCTTTCTCAGAATCATGTTTAGTGTTCATGAAAAACTGAACTTGGGTATCATTTAAAAGCTCTCATTTTAATGTGTAGCCATGGTTGAGAACTACTGAATTAAAGAAATAGTCCTTTACTTTTTTTTTTTTGAGTCATTTAAATCTAATGAAACTATGGACTCTTTACTCAGAAGAATACTCAGACCAACACAATTTTGTATGTGATTTTCAGAAGTTCACACTCCTTTCTGCAAAGTCCAGACTCATGAATTGGCTGGAAAAAAAACATATAGTATGTGACATTTTTTTATTTTAGGCTTTCAAAATTTGCTTAAGATATTAAGTAGTAGTTTAGTTTGACTCAATTTTTTAAAGTCATTTACTTTGAAAGAATTCCAAATGTGCAAGAAAATTTGCCTAAATGTACAATACACTCCTGTAAACCTTTCACCTGGATTCACCAATTATTAGCTTTGTGCCAAATTTACATTCTCTCTTTCTCTCTTGAACTATTATTATGGTTAGTACTTTTTAAACTATAAAAATCTTTCGGTTGCCAGGATAAGACAGTCAGCCATTTTGGACCATCACAAAGGAGTTATGAAAACCTACAGAAAACATCTGATTCTAAACCATCTAATAAACGGACTAAAAGCATCTACACACCCTTAGAATTACAATACTTAGAAATGAAGCAGCAGCAGAAAGATGCAATTTTGTGTGTGGAATGTGGATATAAGTATAGATTCTTTGGGGAAGATGCAGAGGTAAGTTGTTTTCTTAGGCGTTATTTCATGATTTTCTTGTCCAGCCTTAAATATTTTCCAGTGTTTTCGTTTCGCTTTCTGACCTGATGAAAAAGCTAATGTAATCAGTTGCCTTTTAAAAATGCTTTCATTTAAGAAAGTGAAAGTTACTCAGTCGTGTCCAGCTTTTTGTGATCCCGTGGACTATAGAGTCAATGGAATTCTCCAGGCCAGAATACTGGAGTGGGTAGCTCTTGCCTTCTCTAGGGGATCTTCCCAACCCAGGGATCGGACCCAGGTCTGCCACATTGCAGGCGGATTCTTTACCAGCTGGGCCTCCAGGGAGGCCCAAGAATACTGGCGTGGGTAGCCTATCCCTTCTCCAGAGGCTCTTCCTGACCCAGGAATCGAACCGGGGTCTCCTGCATTGCAGGTAGATTCTTTACCCCTGAGCCACCAGGGAAGCCCCATTTAAAGCTTTCATTTAAAGTGAACACTGCATATAAACAGAAGCAAAGTTGGTGGATGCTAAATTTGTGGAGAAGAAAGTGAGTGGTTCTGATTGGAATGTTCATAATTATTCTCCATGCTGCTTACTTAGTGTCTTTCATCTGTCAAAAGTTAATTGTGGATGAACCAAATAGTTAGTGAATGAATCATAATCATGTGAGTATTCCTAATGAAGACTCACACCAAAAAAAAAATTGAGATGTATGATATTCCTCTCTTTACCTTTACTTTATGAGTTTTCTTAGATGAGTGCATTAACTCTGCTGGCCTACTGACAGGTGTGTGAAGTCCTACAGGTCTTTGTTTATCAGTCATTTTGCTGTCTTAGTCTAAGTTGGGTTGCTCTTTGTTGAGATGCACAAGCTTCTCATTGCAGTGGCTTCTCTTGCATAGCACGGGCTCTAGGCAAGCAGGCTTCAGTAGTTGGAGCATGTGGGCTCAGTAGTTCTGACCTCTAGGCCCTAGAGCACAAGCTCAGTAGTTGTGGTGCCTGGGCATAGCTGCCCCATGGCATGTGGAATCTTCCCAGACCAGGGATCAAACCCAGGTCCCCTGTGTTGGCAGGAGGACCCTCAACCACTGGACCACCAGGGAAGTCTGCCATGATGCTTCTTAGAAAAAAGTAGGGAATCAGGTGGTGCTACAGGATTCCACATTCCTATCACTTGCGTGCCATTGATTAGCCAACCAGACCATGGGGTTTTCTTTTCACTTCCTCAAAGATGCCCTCTGTCCAGGGAGGTTTATCATTTATGTACACTGTGTCGTATCTCCTAATTTTCAGTTATTTGCACATGCTAAGTAGCAAATTCTTATTCCATTATACCCTTATACTGTTTTGCACAGGGAAAGTTCAGCACTTTAAGGTTTTGATACATCTAAGGACGTAAAAGAAAACATGTCATATTTTTCCAAGTTGTTTATAGATATAGATGTTGGCCTTGAGGCCATGGACACTCTTGAAAAAAGATGAAACCATAGGCTTCTGCACAGGGAATGTCTTTTAAATGTTTTATTGACATACCACTTGGAGAAGTGCACAAATCCTAGATATATACCTGGATGGATTTTTAACAAAGTGGACAAACACCACACAGGGAATCTTGAAATAGAAACTTACTGATATTTTCTTTAAAAATATTTTTTAGATTGCAGCCCAGGAGCTCAATATCTATTGCCATTTAGATCACAACTTTATGACAGCAAGCATACCTACTCACCGACTGTTTGTTCACGTACGCCGCCTTGTGGCCAAAGGATATAAGGTCAGCTTTGGCTTCAATTCGTGAGAAAAGGGGGTTGGAGTCTCTTCTGGAGAGGGAGGTGTTTCTAAGGTGGGAGGCTATAATTGGTTTTGGAATTGGGCATTTTGGAGAAATGAAAGTTTGTCATAATTATTAGCACTTTATCTTCATGAGTTTTTAACATATTAGATATTTAGGGTAAAAAAAATTTTCAACCGTGTGTTGGAGTGTTTCTTAGTGATTTATCCACACTTGCAAGGTCCTTGTATTACTTATTACATAAACCCAAGTCCTACATCTGGACATTGTGGACTAGTTTGTTTATTTTAAATGTTTCAAAATTAAACTTCTAAACTAGAAATAATGTCATCTTAACAAGTTTTCCATCATATTTAACATGCAGTGTTTATTACTTTTGTTGAAGGTGGGAGTTGTGAAGCAAACTGAAACAGCGGCTTTAAAGGCTATTGGGGACAACAAAAGTTCACTCTTTTCCCGGAAGCTGACTGCTCTTTATACAAAATCTACACTTATTGGAGAAGATATCCTTTTTGAGTAGGAATTTTTTTCTTAAATGTTACAAGGTGTTTGTTTTAAATAACATTTTTAAAAACTGTTCTTTGATTGGGTACTTTTTTAAAAAATAAACTTTGTATTTTGTATTGGGATGTAGCTGATTAGCAGTGTTGTGGTAGTTTCAGGTGAACAGCCAAGGGACTTAGCCATGTATATACATGTGTTTGTTCTCCCCCAAACTCCCCTCCCATCCAGGCTGCCACATAACACTGAGCTGAGTTCCAGGGGCCCGATACCATAGGTCCTCATTGGCTATCCATTTTAGATACAGCAGTCTGTACATGTCCATTCCGAACTGTGATTGGGTACCTTTTTGATGAGATGAGGCAGTATGGTTACTTGGACCTCTCATTAGTGTGATAACTGAAGAGAGAAGGGTTGGCTTTGGCTAGAAAGAGGCATTTTTCAAATGCCACAGTTAAAGAAGAGGTCATCATATTTTAAGAGAAAGAAAGAGAGCCTGGTAAATGATGACCGCAAGTCAGCAACTGATGTGAAATTACATCTTCCCAAGGCCTGTGTTGTCAGTGGTTGGTTGCTTAGGCTTACAAACTCCTGTATATCTTCCTAAGTGAGACCTACAAAATAACTTACTAACGTCACAGTGTGAAAACTACAAAGTTAACACACAGTTGACTGCATATAAAAGATAATAGTAGGTCATCTTCATTAACTGTTAGTGTCGTAAGAATTGTACTACTTTTGAAAATGGATTGTAAGCTTTCTCACTTTGTAAGAATCTTCAGTATATACAGTGACTGCTCCCCAGTTTTTGGTCATTTATCAGTTCAATGAGTTACTTGAAGCCAAATCATTTTAACAGCAGAGTCATAAAATTTTGTCAACTTAAAAAACTGAATAATTACATATAAAATATGATAAGGAAGCGCTTTGTTTACTGTGGGATGGGGTCAGGTCTCTCAGAATAAAAGAATGTAGGGATTAAGTCTTAAATGACTGTGTGACAGTAGTATTTCTGTTATTTTTATTACAGATCTGCTTATTTAGAGTCCTATGGAGCTTCTACCCACACCCTGAAAGCTGTTTTTTTCTGTTAATACCATGAATAGGGAACAGTTTTTCACTCAGAATGAACCCCAAACTATTAACAGCTCTGTATTGTTCTAAGCTGATCAGGCTGTAAGAACTTGGTAATTCTGTTGTTTCTTTTGCCCAAACTTGAATCTCTTTTTTAAAGCCTGCTTCTAAAACAGCACCCCTTCCCGCTTCTCTTTTACTCTCTTATCAGCTGATGCCCAAAGTGAATGTTCCTAGACTGATTATGTCCAAAAACAGCTTTCATCCCTGAGAATTTATTTAATAGACTTATTATGCACACACATGCACAGGCACACACACACATACACACGCACATATGTTTCTATTTTCTTTTTTGGTTTTCTCACGTTTTTTAAAAAATTCTCTTGCTATGTCTGAGAGGTGTTAGGCACTTTAGCAAGGGGAAGTGATTTACACTATTTTAGTGTACTCATGCTGTGACTTGGGGAATTAAGCTTTATGGGATTGCTAAGGATTCAAGGATTATGTTTGGGCTTCCATAGGATTTGAGGTATATTCCAGGCCTTTTGGAAGTGAGAGGATAATAGTTGTCTGTTCTCATGAATTTTATATCTTAGGGAAGATATGGCATTGTAACTATGATCAGTGTAAATCAGAAGAATGAATGTTGTATGGAAGATTTTGTATAGAGCAAAAATGTCCAGGAAAATTAACTATTATTTTAAGGAGGAAAAGCTCATGGGACTGGAGCATTTGTTTTTCCTTAATAACTATTACATGTGAATCCTTTAGTCAAGCTGGATGATGCTGTAAATGTCGATGAGGTAATGACTGATACTTCTACCAGCTATCTTCTGTGTATCTGTGAAAACAAAGAAAACGTTAAAGACAAAAAAAAGGGGAGCGTTTCCATTGGAGTTGTGGTAAGTACTTTGTAGGTGAAGAACAAATGATATGTTCATGGTATCTTTAAATATGAGAAATCATGTATGGTTTATAATGAGGCTATTTGATGGGTTGTGTCTTCAAGTAATTGTACTAGAAAAACATTTCCCTCCTAATTTTATGTGTTAAAATATAAATCTTACATGACTGTTTGGCACTCTGTGTTTTGGAGGGATCCAAGTAGTTTTCTGTCCATGTGCTCTAGTAGTTTAGTGTTGAAGATAGACACAGTGACAGGCATGTATGCAAACAGTGTTCAGATAGCAGAATAAAACATTTAAGTCAACACATGCATGGATAACAAAGGGTTTTACAAATTTCCTCTAGATTTGAAGTTAAAGGCAAATAATTATGGGTTTGTCATATCTAGTTTTAGAGGAAAGAGTAGTTAAGGGTTATAACTGGCCAATTCAAAACTCCATTTTTAATGTATGGCAAAAACCACTACAATATTGTAAAGTAATTAGCCTCCAACTAATAAAAATAAATGGAAAAAATAAATAAATAAACATTAGGAATATTTATAACCAGTCTTCCAGGTGAGTATAGTTTGTGAATTATAGTTTTATTGATCTTGCCTTCTGGCAGTTTGTGAGCAGATTTGCCCATTTAGAGACCTATTTGGACTCTGCTTAAAATCTTAGACTTAAGGGCCTCTTGGAACTACTATTAGACTCCATTGTTCTGTTAAGCAGAAGCAGGACTCCTTGCCTAAGTAGTAACCCATTCTCTTTATATTTTTAAACTTTTGCAACCAGCTACAATATTAGTAAAAATTCTTACAGCCCAAATGTCTCCAAAATACCTTTTGATACCTCATTTTGGCTGCATAACTTGGTACTAACTTTGATGTTTGCTTAAAAGTAAGCCATTCTCTCTGGGAGTTAGTGTTACTATTGGGGACTCTAAATGATTGTATTTTTTTATCCTTGAGAAGCACTTTTTATCTAGCTGCAGGCAGTTGAACCTATCTACAAATAGTAAAGTTATTTGCTTTTTAGTTTTAACAGATGTAATGTGCTATTTTATACTTACCTGGAACTCAGTCTAAGGAGCAGAGCTGATTGTATATACAACTCCTATTTCGTGCTTTTAGAAATACTCTTTGGCATCTTGCCAAAGTGAATATAGTGTATGAACTGGCATGTGAGAAATGAGAATTGATAGTTTCCATCTCAGTCATTTTCTTGGGACTTACTCTTTTTATTTATTTATTTATTTTTAGCTTTGTATTCTGCGTTGGGTTATAGCTGTGTTGTGATCATTTCGGGTGAACAGTAGAGAGCCTCAGCCCTGCTTGTACACATCCACATGTCCATCCTCTCTCAAACTCCCCTCCCATCCAGGCTGCCAGAAACCACTGAACAGTGTTCCATGTCCAGCTCTTCACTGGACAAGGCCCTCCAATTCAGTGTGGCTGAAACGGATCTCGTCTCCCTGAACCCCGCTCTTGCTGGGTGTTTCCCGGTTGTGATGAGTGTCGCTTGCTCCCCAGTCACTACCTAGGAGTCATCCTTTGGATACTGCGAGTTAGTCTGGAATCAAAGGCTTTACTGTTGTAGCGCCAATGCAGTCAGACCCTCTGTCTGCAGATGGCCTGTGGGCTTCTCAGTGTCACATTTCACACGGAGTAGTAGATGTTGCAGGTTTTATGATATAGACCATTTCTCTGATTAAAAAAACAAAGAGGAATTTGGCCAATACATTTACTACTTGAACTTCTGTAAATAGCTTTTATACAAGTTTGGTTGTAGATTGGGAGATAAACCCAGTTGTAGATTGTGTTGTAGATTGGGAATAGTTACAGTTCAGTTATCTGGCCACTAGAGAAGGCCTATGGGCTAGAATTAAGGAACTTCTTGAGCCAAGAATGAGTGATTTAAAAAAAAAGTCAAGAAAAAAATGCATAAATCAAAAATTACCAGTGTAATGTGAGAGAGCCCCTCAGGTTAGAAAATATAAACACCATTCACAGAAGGGCCCCTTGCCTCCAGAGATAACCATAATCCAGACTTTAAGATAATAATTCCCTGGCCTTTTGATCCAATTTTACCACCTTAAGCAGTATATTAATATAAACATGTTGTATTTACTCCTTTTGGATCTTGCTTCTTTGTTTACCGTTTTGTACATGAGGTTTATTTGCATGTGTTACTTTAGTAGTTCTTTTGTTGCATTGCCACATTGTATTTCATTTTATAGTTTATTCATTCTTCCATTAAGGGACAAGTGGATTCGTCCCAGTTTTTGCTTATACAGAGTATGCACTGTGGACATTTTTGTATTAATACGTGGCTTCTGATATGCATGTGCCTGAGTTTCTTAACTCAGGGGGGAAATTGCTGAGTTACGGGATATTTTTACAGGATGCTTTCAACTTTCCTAGAAAATGCCAGACTGTTTTTTGAAGAGGCTGTGTCAGTTGACTTTCCACCAGCCGTGTTTGAGTGTAGGGAGTGTTATTTTTCCTCCTGTTTGCTCACACAGTCTGTAGCTGGCCCCAGGCCTTTCTTAATTATCAGTAATGAATAGGAGTGTGACTTGTGGAGCCAGACTATGTGACTCTTGCCTCCACCGCTATATCGCCTCTTGACCTATGAGTAAATGACTTAATTTTTTTCTACTTTTCCGAACTGTGATCTTTTCCAGGTTTTCTTTGCTATTACTGGCTTGGGGTGATGCAAGTGGCTCTCAGTTCTCATGGTTATTTCCCTGGATAGACTGTGCACATGGGGTTTAGTCAGATTTCATTATATTTGATTTTGTTTTTGGCAAAAAAAATACTTTTTATTTACATTATATAACAAAATAGTAACTCATTCCTCCTCTGGTGGCCAGGGTACTAGGAGCATATCACTTATTACTTTTAGCAATAATAACAACTATATGTACAGCACTTTACAGCTTACAAAGTGTTCATTTGTTTTCTGATTTGACCCTCACAGTAACTTTGTGAGGGAAGTAACCTGGTTCCCACTTACAGAGGAGGACCCTGAGACTCAGGAGGGTTTGGTGACTAGTCATATTCACTTCATCCTGTGTTAATTTATATCCAGGATTTGGCTGGACTCAGGATGTCTATAGTCCAAGCTAGCATAGTTTAAATGTTGGTTAATCTGATTTCTTATGTAAGAGTCTTGGAAAGCAGACAGGTTTTCAAACACTTTAGAAATTCAAGTACATACTCATGAGTGTCGTCTTTACTATTTCCATGTTTATTAATGCTGTGCCATAGTTACAGTGGGGAAAGATATACTTTCTGTGCCTGTATGTTTTTGTCTTTAGGGAGTACAGCCCACCACAGGTGAGGTTGTGTTCGACAGTTTCCAGGACTCCGCTTCCCGTTCAGAACTTGAAACTCGGATACTGTGCCTGCAGCCAGTGGAGCTGCTGCTTCCGTCAGATTTGTCGGAGCAAACGGAGATGCTCATCCACCGGGTCACGGCTATGAGGTGAGTTGGCGCATCGCTGGAAGATAATGTGGATTCTGAAACCTAGATCTGATTCCCACATGAATGCTTATCAAAGTCGTTGAAAATCATTTTTATTTATAAAAATATTTCATCATAGTAGTGGAAATTTCAAAAAAGAGAAACAGAATTACCCATAATGTCACCTTAATGTAGACCTTTAGAGATTGCTCTTTTTAAAGGGGTTTATGATATTTAATGCTATTATATGATAAGGAAAGTGTTATGGTATTGCTTAATGAGATTATTTGGTAGCTGATCTTCTGGAGATAATAATTTCTTAGAAAATTTATGTAATTTTGGAAATGCCTTATTTTTGCTCTAAGTTTCAATTTGTGGCTGAGTCCAATAGTCGAATTTACTAGATCTGTGGTTACTCCTCTTGTTGATGAGTCCCTGTGCTAGGCACTGTGGCCTATGGAGGAAGATGTGCTTGTGATGTGTGTCTGCAGCATCTGTAATCCAACGGGAGAGGAAGATAGGTACAGACCTAACTGGATTCACAAAGCGTGGTGTATCCATGACAGACATGAAGGTGCCTAGGTGGGACGATTCTGTGCTGTTCCCCAAGGAGTTTGGTGGGAAGAGACTGGAAAGTTGGCCTGGGGCTCCAGTGAAGAGGACGTTAGGTACTGAGGAATTTGGACTTCAGGCATGAGAACCCATGAAGATTTATGTTTAATAGGTTGACAAATCAGTTGGAAAATCAAACTGAATGATTCAGTGAAGTTCTATATGTTTCTTTGTTCTTTGAGGTGAATGTTTCTTTTTCCTTTGACTTAAAATTCTTTCAGAGTAGCTTTCATAATGTGTTTTTCTGATTAGAACACTAATCCATATTCATTCAGGAAAAGTTAAGAGTTATAAAAGTCCCATAAACATAACAGTAAGCTATAACACAGAGATAACTACTGTTAAACATTTTGGTATATTATTTCTGTGTATATATATCCTTTCTTTTTGTTTATAAATTTTGATTCGTGTTGCAAAGTCCGTTTTGTATCTTTTTTTAATTTTTAACTTAAAATTTCCTATGTATTTTTTTTTCTTGGTATCATGGGAAGTGATCATTGAAATAATTTCTGCCAATTGGTTAGATTAAAATTTTGCATGAATTCCCCTTATTTTGTTCTTAATCCTTTACTGACAGTGTTCAAACTTGAATAATCAAAAGTCAGACAAGTAGACTGATAAGGAATGCTGTATTTGGAAAGCTAAAAAAATTAATAAAATCTCATAAGACTTTTAGGAGTCTTCTAAAACCGTGTTTCCCATATTTTGTGTTTTTGATTTTAATTTTCCTTCATAACTGAGTGTATACTTGATTAATTTAGATGTAAGACTAAAGTTAATCAGTTGAATCAACACATTCGTTTTTCTGATTTTCATTTATTTTTGTAAAACAATAAAGGCAGAATTCAATAAAATATCAAACATTCCACAAAGACATTGCCAAAACTGAATTTTTTTGCTGGTAGGCAGCATTGCCTGAGGATATTCATAAATGTTTACTCATGAGATGAGATTCAAAAGCCAAAGATAGTTTGGGTGTCATATGTGGGTTTTACCAAATTTGATAACTGCCTTTGTCTTGTTTTAATTTGTATTTCTCTTGTTAGCATTGGGAGTATGTAATTTTTCCTGTGTTTATTAACCATATGTAATTTTAATTTTACTCACATAATGGACTAAACATAGTCAACAATTAAGCCACATTTTGGCAACCCACTCCAGTATTCTCGCCTGGAAAATCCCATGGACGGAGGAGCCTGGTGGGCTATAGTCAGTCCGTGGGGTCGAAAAGAGTCGGACACGACTGAGCGACTTCACTTTCACTTCTGTTCAGTCTAAAGCTGATCTATGTCTATGGACAGAATGGAGTAATAGACATTCAGATGTCCAACAGTGAAACAGTGTGATTCTCGTGACACAGGGTTTGGGTTGAACACGTGGACTTTCCCGTTAGTGACTTTGGGTGAGTCACCCAGTTCTGTTGCCTTCAGTTTCCGTTTCTTTCAAACAGAGAAAGTAAGAGCGTGTACCTCTCAGGATTGTTGTGAAGAGTAAATATAAAAAGTTAATATACCCTGGAGAAGGAAATGGCAACCCACTCCAGTATTCTTGCCTGGAAAATCCCATGGAGGGAGGAGCCTGGTAGACTGCAGTCATGGGTTCGCAAAGAGTCAGACAGGACTGAGCGACTTCACTTTCACTTTCACTATATTGTCTGAAGAAGGAAATGGCAACCCTCTCCAGTAATCTTGCCTGGAAAATTTCATGGACAGAGGAGCCTGGTGGAATACAGTCCACGGTGTCACAAAGAGTTGGGCATAACTGAGTAACCAAACAACTATGTTGTCAGATGGGACATTATCCTGCTTGAGTTGTATCAGCTCAGAGTAGTGGCAGTCAGGCTGTCACAGCAGAATTAATGGTTGCCTAGGACAGTGACCCTAAAATTAGGATAACCTATGTATATGCAAATAACTTTGTAGGAGATACTGTTTATTTATTAAAACACTGTTTTAAGACCAAAAAAACAAAAAGGTCAATATAAAGTGCTTGAAACAGTGCCAGCACAGAAGGCTCTGTGTAGATGGAAGCTCTTCTTTTTATCATTCCTCTTGGCCGTTGCCTTTTTAAATACTGCCTCTCTTCTACACTCTCCTGGAACTCCTACTGGAGGTGTGTGGGAACTTCACACTCTGCTGTCTGCATGGTCCTTTATGGTGTCATCTCCCATTTGCAGCTGTTTTCATATTGGTTTTGCTTCTTGGGGATTTCTTTTTTTTTTTTTTTGACTCTTGAAAAAACATTTTTGATTATATTTTAATCACTATTTCTTTGTATTTTTAGTATGCTGCCTAGACCAAGTAAGTTCTCCATACTTACTGGAACATTCCATTATTTTTATATGTAGAAATATCTCTCCTTATTCTGCCAGTGCTTACATAATTGTTTATATTTTGTTTTAATCAATTTATTATTAAATTTTTTTTTTTACATTTGACTTCTAACTCATTTTTCCTTTATTTTCCTTTACTGTGTAGGTGTGGTCCTACCTTAATTTCTTTCTGAATGCTAGTGGGTCCACTTAAGCATTCATAAAATTTAGCCTTTATCAACCTGAGATACAATTCCTAGCCTTGTTTTTTTTTTTTTTTTTTTTTTGCAACAAGCAACAGTTTATTTATAAAAAAAAAACAAAAAAGAAAACTTTTTTTTACTACATCTTAAAGATTAAGTAAAAATACCTGTATTAATATATATGTATATACATACTGCATATATATATATACATATGATATAATATTAAAATTACATGCTTCTCAGGACAGAAGAATTAGGACATGTTCCCTTATTTCAATTTAAAACTCCATCACAATTCAAAATCACTGCAAGAAAACTTGCTTCCTTTATTTTCTTTTTGAGACTTCAAGTATAGGAAGTTTTCAAACCAGGATCTAAATGTGGAGAACCGTCTCCTATGCACATGACAACAAACTGCCACAAATCATGAGTCGGGGTCTTCTGAATTCTCACACAGGTCTTGGCTCCCTATGACCGTGTCAACCTTCTACCTGAGACGACAGGGGATGAAGAAGCAAGACAGCCTGCAGGTTCCACGTGAATGTTCACACTGACGCTGAAACAAAAGCAAACATGAACGTGTCTTGTAGTAACAACACTGGCCATGAAATTGCTCTAGAGGAGGTTTTCTTTCTCCCCTTTCCTTGCCAAAGGAAACACAAAAGTTTCCAAAAAAAGAAAAAAAAAAAAACACCAAAATACAAAAAACCAAAAAACCCTCGGGTGAAGCACCTCTGGCGATGATCAGCATACAGCAAGAGACAGAGAGGGAGTGTTTCTTTCTCGACAGCTTCGGGCTGACTTGGATGATTTCAAACACACCCTCTTCTGCAAACCTAGCCTTGTTTTTAAAAAAAGTTAGCAGTGGGGATAAGGAATGCTTTTAATTAAGGTATGAAGAACATAGCTTGCCAAAACTATGTTCCATGTTTACTATCAGTAAATAATATAGCATTGAACTGTCAAGGAGAAAAGTTTGTTTGGTTTTTTTTTGGTATCGTCTTTGTTTTAAGTAGTGAGTAGTTTATTGTGTCTCAGATTCAGAATTCATTCTTTTTCTTTCACTTTAAACCAGAAAGTAAAACCAGCAGTTTTTGTCAGTTAATGGTTGATATTTTATTAATATGGAAGAAATAATAAAGTTTGTGAGAAAAGCCAGAACGGCTTGAAATGACGGAATATCCATTTTAAGTATGTATTAGACGGTTTTTGCTTGTATTTTTAAACTTTGACCACAAGAGGGTGCCAAAAGCATTTCATTTATTATGTATTACGCTGTAAAGACTATGAAAAGCTTCACTTTTTATGTGTCTAGGTAAAGACTTAATTACTTTGTATTGTATGAGAATTTAGGATGAATACTAGTCAAATGTAGTATAAACATAGTTATTATTTCTAAATAATGTTAAACTGTTGATTTTTCTTCAGTGAATTATCTTTTATAGATAATTTATATAAATTTTATAGATCATTTATGTAAAATGTGTTTTTAAGACTTCAGTTTGGTTCTTAGGAAATTAGTCTTACTATCTTAATTGTTATCTTTTCCGATTGTTGTAAGACTGTAAACGTTCTTACATTTTCTCTCTACAGAGAAGCAAAGGAAAAACAAATGATTTTTAAGCACAGTGTTAACTGCAGTTAAGATCACTTTAGCTTAGAGATATGCTTACGAAAGAAGAAAGCTATCAAAATCAATAAACAAATATTAATTAATATTTACTAGTTCTCGAAGAAACTGATTTTTAAGGCAAGTCAGATGAACAGATAAGATGATGGTCAATTTTGAGTACAGAGAGGGAGAGCTTCCTGGGTCCTGGCACAGCCGAGGAAGGCCTTGTGGAGAAGGTTGGCTGGGTTGGGGACCTTTGCAGGATTGCAGGGCTTCGAAT